TTTTATTGCTGGTTCAATAAATTGTTAATTATAATGCAGTGATTGCTGCTGACGTGATTTAAAAGCCACATTAGCACTATAGCATTAAGTTTTAACTATTTTACCCTTCAATTCTCTGTTTATACAACAGTAAAAGGAAAATGGCCTTAGACTAATTTAAAAAATGAAGGCACTTGTTTGTATGAATCACGTGGCAGATTTGAAACTTTTCAGTTGGAGTGTGTGTGTATGTGTGCATGTGTCAAAGGTTGAGCTATTGTCTACAAAGACAGGAATGCATTACTGACATATAATGTGTTCCACTGTGGAAGGGAGTGCTCTTGTAATGCAAAGCTAACCATAATTAACCTAAGCGGCAAGCAGCCTAGTCCTTTTAGCAGGCTCAACAGTGGGAGCTCTTATAACCAATCTGCCTATAGCAGCCTGGGTCCTGTTCCCAGTAAACTGAGCAAAATCACACAGTTTTGTCCCAGAGTTGCCAGGAAAGAACATCCCATCTTCATTTTTCCTACTCTGGTTTGACACTATTTTTGGTGGGTGTTTCCCTGTCTCCTGTAGGCTAGATGCTTCTTTTGGTATCAGTGGCAGTATGCCTCTGTACATCTGTTGCTGGGGAAGGAGAGATGGAGAGTTCAGTTGGGTTCATATCCTGTTGAGATTCTGTGAACAGAAAAAGTTGGATGAAATAGACCTTTGGTCCAATCCAGCATGACCCTTTATGTGTTTTTCCTCACAATGCACAGGGTGTGATAGCAAGAGAGAAGACTGGGAAGGAGGAAACAAAATGAGATATGTCCCTCTGACTTCCCCTTCTACCTATAAAGACTCCCTTTTTCCTCACAACTGTGCCTCTGAATTGACAAATGTAGTGCATCTTTCTCTGCTGAATGGAATGAAGTTAATATGGTAGACACTGCAAAGATAAACCATTTAAAGTTGATAGCAAGTTTAGCAGCTTCCCAACAGCAGGGAACAGTCTTGCAGAAAGTAGTTACCTATTTGAAGGGCTGACAGACAACAGTCCTCAAATTAAAGATGCTTCAGTTTCGAGGGCTTTCCAGTACCAGTTTGGTTTAAAGATAAAGAGGGGCCTTGCCTTCGGCCCATTATCAATTAATACTTAGCAGAATGAGGAGGCATAAAGATCTCCTGGTCATGGTCTCCCTCACTGTAGTGAGATGCACTGTATTTTAAAATTATAGCTGTTACAATGGAACTTTGATATCCACTGCAGTTTGGTACCAAGCCCTCCCCCCTAGATAAAAAAAAAAAACATGAATGCTCAAGTTTTATTATATACAATGGGATAGTAAAATGGTGCCTCTTATATAAAATGGCAAAATCAAGATTTGCTTTTTGGGTTTCTTTAAAAAAGTATTTTCAGTCCATTGATAGTTGAATCCATGGATCCAGAATCCATGGATATAGAGAGCCAACTGTATTTTAGAGTGGCCATCTGCATATATATACATTAATAAATACACATTTTATGTGTCTTTTCCTTCATTTTCCTTTTTTTCTTTGACCCATACACCAAATAAAAAAAAATTGACTAAGATCTAAAGTGCACGTGACAAATCTATGCCACAGAAATTCAGATTTTCCTTTCAATATTTTAAATGTATTTACTTAATATTAATTACAGTGCAACATTTGTAAACAGCTCCATCTTATAGGGTATTAAATTTATTACATGAGCAAAATGAAATGCAATACCTTCAAAGGTATGGCTCCCCACTTTATCCTCACAGTAGCCATTGGAATAATAGTTTATCCAGTGATGCTAGTCAAAATGCCATGTTTAAAGTATTGCTATGTTCTGTTCAAATGGGGAGGGGTTCCAGGCACAATGGCACTATCTGGGCTTTGAATTATATTTGGAGGAGAAAATCCTGACCAGATATGGTTGTCTTTACTATTTCTGTTATTTCAGATATAATGGTTGAGCATAAATGGAAGCAGCATCGCACACTCAGATCTGTAGTAAGAAAATGTTCATGGGGTGGGCAGAGACAAAAATGAAGCAAGAGCAGAAGCGTTTGGCCATTGGCATTAATAAAAAGAAGAATTAAGTGAGAGGAAATTTCATTGAAAGGCAGAGTTTTCATTAGGGGAGGGAGGAAGCAAAGCAGCACCTTCATTTGCTGTGCCCATCACTGCACCTCTGCTTCTCTCTGTTATTATATTGATACCTCTTCTTCCTTGAAGGAACAGAAAGCAGCATACATGCTTCTCAATGCCACTTCACACCATTTTATGCTGATAACAACCTGGATTTGGAAAGTGTGTGTGTGGATCAAATATGAGCCTAATGGCTCCATGGACATTTGAACCTGAGCCTCACTGGACTTGGTCTAACTCTCTAAACACTATCACACTCTGGTTCTCTTGTCCTGCATTGTGCATTAAAGGCTAGAAGACACACACACACACACAATCTTTCAATTGGCACAAAGGAAGAGATATTGGAAATCCTGGCACATGGGCATAGTCTCTTGTGTACTTTCACACTCTTACACTCTCACTGGTAAAGTGTTGCTCAAAGTTCTTTAGTTTTAGCATCAACCTGCATGCACACATATTAAAAATACAAACATTAAATGCTGAATATGAAATTGTTTCCCATGTACTAAGTAGTGATTGAATGAATAAGAAGTACTGTTCTGCAAAAGAGATGCCTGCTTCATAGCTGCATTGTAACTTATAGTAATTATTTTAACAAAGCACTGCTCTGTCCATTTTCTAAGTACTTCAGCCTCAAGATCTATCCAGTGTTGGGACAGGTGCCATTTCGTGATTATATATATTATTTTAAAAGTGAGTAGATAGAATATAAATAGTGCATAACAAATAGTGAATTTCTGGTTTGTTAAGGTGAATGGTTCACAAGCTAGCCATAGGCTAAAATATGTTCAAATTAATTCTTTGTGGAATTACCAACAGAAGTTTTTTTTCTTTAGAAAAAAATAAGACCATTCACAGATAATTTGTGAACAGAAAAAGGCCTACATTTGGCTGAATAATTTATTCAGTGTAAATAATTCACCCAGTTCAAGTCAGCAGGAAGACAGAGGAAAGAGTTTATTGAAATGTATGGGGAAATATAAATGATTAGTAATAACAACATATGCTCTGATTAATAAAGAAGGGAAACAAAAATGGCTCCAGTTGAAAAATACTGTGTTGCACTTTGGTTTGCTGTGACATATTTTGATGCATTGTACATTCTTGAGATTTATCTTATTGCAAGAGAAAGAAAAAGGTACTACGTAATAGCTGAGGATTTTCAGCTGCAGCAATAGAGAACATTTTTTCTGAGAATTTTGGATAATAGAAATCAGGCATTTCAGCTACAATAGGTACTGTAACCAATGAGAAGTGTCTAAACCATGAGTTGCATATATTATTTTTGCAGTATAGCTTCATTACATTATCAACTCTTATCTATCCAATCATGTGCATATCAATGGAAATGACTCTTAGAGCTTAATGATGTGTTATATTAAACAGGCAACTGCTTCAAAAATGACAGCTAAGTCTGCCTTTCTATACCCAGTTACCTGGAAGTAAGTTCCTTTGAACTCAGTGGGGCTCACATGTCATACATATAGGATTGTTCAGTAAAATTTCTCTTTTCTCCTTTGTCCACTGTAACAGATAGCTTATTTTTATCTTGCCACCATTTCCCCCATATCCACACTGCCAGTAAATAATAAAATCTGTTTCTGTGATCCAAGAAAAGGGATCTGTGTACACAATTGCTGCTGGTATGTATTCAAATACAGATAATTGTTACAGTGTTAATCTGATTCATCAGGAATGGATGCATCTCACGCAAATAAGGGTACCCACTTGTATTACGAGCAATTAGTCTCTTGTAACAAGGTCATAGAAAGTTGGATTGGAAATGCAGAAATATCCACAAAGATGGTTGTTTCTCCACTGTTTTAAGTGGATGCAATTCTCCACTGATTTTCTTCTTGAAACAAGCAACAAGTAATTTTAGAAATTACCTATCAATTGCAAGAAAGTTTTTGAAAACCACACAATTTCCCCCAAGTTGGGATTTCCTCTCCAAAAATTTGCATGTAGGCATTTTACACATTTTGCACTTTCCATGGAGAAACATTACTCTCTGCACAGAAAAAGCTGTTTCCTATACAGAAGATGCTTTTTTTGCTGGGATGTGGCATATTGTTTGAGCCTATGTATGAGCTAAGGTGTGTACATGTATGTTTGAGAGTGTGTCTGCTGAGAGTTGGGAGGGACATGTGTGTCCGTACAATGCAAATATGTTGTGTGTGCATGTGCACATGTGACAGAGATTTCTTTTAAGACCACCAAAATTCAAAAAACTGGAAGAAGGTAAAATGGAGGGTGGCATCCTGTTAGTGAATTATGATGATATGAATAGGATGTACATTATAAGTCTTTTTGGGGGGCATAGTAGAACTTGGGATAATGTCCTGGTACAAGATGACAGAATCAAGTGTATAGCTATTAAGACAGGACCAGACACTTCTTCAATAGCCCAGGCTCCCACTTCCACTTATTGGACTAGTCTGATCTTTTATCCTACATTTTAAGCAAGCTTCATTTTATTTATTTATTTATCAACTAGAACAGAACCATTGATTCAATTGGATTTAGTTATGTTCATACTTACTATTCAAGAAATGATTCAATGGGTCTACTCTAGTTGGGATTATCCAGCAAGATCCCATCATTAGGTGGTAGATCCAGAACATGGGTAGAGCATGGGCAGATCAGTGAAAAAATGAAGTTGCCCTCAATGCTTGGCTCAAAGTCTATTTGGATTAGAATGATTCTTATGCTGAAAGCTATAAGCATGCTTAAAGTGTAAGCAAGCCACAAAGAGCAATTTGAAAATTTTGCACAGCCCTCTGACATTTTTAGACACTGGAGAAACATGATGGTGATGATTACTGTTGTGTGCCTCCAAGTTATTTCCAACTCAAGGCTACCCCAAAGAACCATATGGCCAAGCAGGGAATCAAACCCTGATCTCAGAGCTGTAGTCCAATGCTCAAACCACTACACTATGCTGGCTCCTTGATGATTACAATCTAATGTAAAACATATAATACAGACAAATGGTTTGATATGATATCTGATATATTTAACTGTAATGCTATGGGTAAACTTATACCTTTCTGTAGGAAACACAGCCCTATTCTCCTACTTTTAACTTAACTACATATAAATGAATGCTGGGGGAGTTCTGTAATTATTTTTCTGCCTTGTAATTCTCTTCAATATGGAACTGAGAAATTCCCAGGTCTATCTTGATACTGTCAGGACAGCACACACAGATGACATGAAAGTGAACACGAATTTCCAAGTAATATTTAAATGTGAAAGCTGACTACAACCAGATTTCCCTCATGGTTATAGACTGTCATGGGTTTTGCAAAAATGAATAGCATTCTGCTGAATACTTAAGTCAAATCGAGAGAAGTAACATGCACAGGACATTTATCTTGAAATGGGGAATGGGTTTAATTTCATGCCTTTGGACAGTATACTGCCCTGGCTTTGTCACTTACACATTAATTACTCAAGACAAGTATTTTGCAATGCATATATTTCGGGTGTGTAAATTTTTTTTAATTATTAAGATGAAGTGTGAATGCAAATAATTTCATTGCTTTTCTGAACAGCAAGATGGACTGTATTTTTGCATAAAAATTGCCCTCTTGAGAAATGGTCACTGTTCTGAATTTCAGGATTAAGAAAATAATACTAATACAGACTGACTTGATTGGCCTGGCCATTGAGCATCCATTCTGACATTGTACACAGTCTTCTTCTCAGGTAGGGCTTGATGCATAGGAGGCTAATGTGTCTAGAGCAAAATAGAATTAGAAGATGAAACATTTTTTAGGATTAGCGGCTGCCAAAGGGGGTGGCAGCTTTAGAAACTTCCTCAGTACTATAGAAAGGGGGTGCTTTGCTTCACTTTCATGCAAGACTTGCTTTACTTTGGATCAAAACAAAGATCCAATTCACTTTTCAAAAGAGTCAGGGCTTATCCAGATGTGCCCATTGTTCTAGTACATGCTGAGTTATTCCGTTTCTGGATTTCACAGCTGTAATGCTACATAATGATTGTTCCTGCTCCTGTACCCAGTCATGCCCTAATATGAGGGCTTCTTCCACTCCTTTTCCTGCTTGAGGTGTAGCTAACAGTGGCATGGGTGGACTCTCCTTCCTTCCCCATCATCCCATCCATGTTCTCCCTTAGTATCCCTTTTCCTGGTCTGTTTTTTTTTTTTTAAAAAAAAATGTATATTCATACTGTACAGGTGCCATAAAGGTAAAGCACAATACCACTTTACCACTATATTTGCAGAATGTGCAGTGCAGTGCCAAGGAAATGTTTAACCAGGTAATTAGAGATAGATTGGGGGATGGAAGGTCAGAATAAAACTTCTAAGGCAAAAGACACCCCCCCCCAGCACCTCATAACTGGGATAGGTGAAAAGTACAGAAGGAACTGAGAAAACAGATACATGAGAATTTACCTCTGCCTATGGGTGTATAATGCACGTTGACATCACTTTAACTGCCATGGCTCCATCCTACAGAATACTGAGGATTATAGCTTTGTGAGGCACCAGCACTGTTTGGCAGAGAAGGCCAAAGGATTCCACAGGATGGAGCCACTACTTAAAGTGGTGTCAAACTACATTATTTCCACAGTGTAGATGCGCACTGTATCAGAATCTCCCAGGATAGGAGGAAATGATACCTCTCTGAGGGCCTTTACAGACTGCCAGAAATAATGCAGCCACTTTAACTGTCGTGGCTCAGTGCTAGGGAATCATGGGAACTGTAGTTTATTGTGGCACCAGAGCTCTCTGACAGAGAAGGCTCAATGTCCCAGAAAAAAAAATACAATTCCCATGATTCCCTAGCACTGAGCCACGACAGTTAAAGTGGCCTCAAGCTGCATTATTTCTGGCAGTCTGTAAAGGCCCTGATTTAGCTTTAAAAAGTCACAATTACACTCTGCCCTTGAAATTCACACAAAACCAAATGGCACAAGTGGCAGTCATATGGCTATTTTCAGAAAATAATCCTGATAAAGACAGGTACAACTCCCACCATATTCCAAGGCTCTTGGTAAATCTGGATCAGCTCTCAGTTTCTACCCAGTGAAACTATGATGAGGTGTGTTCTCCTTTACTTCTTCCACCCAAACAGCTTTTAGAGGCAGACCACTTTATCCCTTTCAGCTTCTGCAGGACCTTTCCCACCACCAGCTATTTTTGGGGGATACAAATTGTATTCTTCTTCTCAATTTTTCACTTAATTTTTACAGGAAGAAACAAAGTCTGCTTTCCCCTAAGTTGCCTGAGGTGAGACAAAAGCTCACTTCTGGGAAGGAAAGAGGGACTTTGTTGGAAGGTAGGGTCTTCTTTCCCCTTCCTCCCAGACCAGCCATTTTTGGGGAAAGCAGGCATGATTTTTGCAACTATCTAGCAACTATCCTATATCTATCTTCAGTTCAAAGACCATTTCTTGGACTACAACTCCCAAAATCTACCCCAGCCAGTATGGCCACTGAAAGGTGTAGTAAAAAAAAGAAAAAGAAAAAAAAAGAAATGAAGAAGAAGAATGGTTTGAAGCCCTACTTCCACTTTGATGGTATGCTTTGAGACTGACTGTTTTCCTGATGTTGTGCAACATTTTGAGGTCATCTGAGGTTCTGATTTAGGAGTTTATCACATTGTATTTAAAGTGACATATCCCTCTACCTGTGGGTGTATAATGCACATTGACATGGGATATAGTTGCGTTTAATTTTAAACGCACACAGCTGTAACCAAGTGAGTGCAACCCATATGCAGCCCGAATCCCAGCCACGCTTATGCAGTGGCTTTTCAAAAATGGCAAGCTCCTGTTTTTGAAAAGCCACTGGAAACGCATAGCTAGGATCCGGACGGCACTCACTCAGCTGTGGCTGTGTGTGATAATGCCTGGTTTTAAAATTACAAATGATTGTATCCCTGTTGAGGATAAGTCGCTTTAAATGCAATGTGATAATCTCCTTAGTTGCCAAATACAAAGCAAGCATGGTAGAGAAGCAAAGAGAAGTTGAAGAAACAGTGGGGGGATGCAGATGGGAGGCCCTGGGCTAGCCTGGAAAATGGAGAATCAAGGCCGAGGCTGCCAGATGCATTGGCCCCGATCCTCCCTTTTGCCACTTGTTAAAGGAGCATCAAAACACTTTTCCTTTCCCAGGTGGTGTAAAGGGCACCCAAAGAACCGCCATGTGGCTGTTTTGCACCTCTTCCAGCACAGCATGTAAAAACGCCAGGTTGAGGAACCCGGCGTTTGGCTGCCTCTCCCCTTCCCTGCCTCCAAGATGGTGCTTTGCACCATCTGTACAGGCCCAGTGTTAGAATGGAGATGAGGGGATGATTGTCTAGTGGCTGTGAGGACTAAGGAATGGGTGAGGATTTCATTTGCTTCTCTTGCTTTTGTTGGATACAACTTATCAAAATTTGCAAATTTCTTCACAAATGAGTTGGCAAAGTTGATAATTTTTTTTAATAAAAAAACAAACCCTGAATGACAAAACAAATGAAATGTACTTGTCTATCTTTAGTGAGGACAGGTAACAGAGTTCTACAGAATGCATAGCAAACTCTAATAGGGAGAAAGAGGACCTAACATTCAGATAAGCCTGTAACAAGAGGAAATAAGTGGGTCAGTAATGTGTTGCAGGCAGATCTGTAGGGAAGGAAAATAGAGAAGGAAGAAAACAGAGATGTGGAAGTACCAAAAGACCTCTTGTGGAGCAGAAAACATGTGTGTGTGTGTGTGTTGTGTGCCTTCAATTCATTTCTGGTGTACAGTGATCCTAAGAAAAATGTATCATGGGGTTTCGTGGCAAGCTTTGTTCTGAGGAAGTTTGCCCTTGCCTTCTCCTGAGGCTCGGAGAGTGTGACTTGCCCATGTGGGTTTCATGGCCTAGCTGGTAATCAAACCCTGGTCTCCACAGGTATTATGGGAAAGGCAAGATTTTGTTGTTGTTGAAGAGTGAGATATACATTCTTAACAAGCAGGCAAGCAAAATTCTAGGAAGGAAGACTTTATTGATTTGAATGGGGGCTTCCTTTATAAAGGAAATAAGGACTTCAGGAAGTGGGGATAAAAAAAGAGGGAAATGGACTAAACCTTTTATTTCTTTATGTTGTGCTCTGTACAGAAATCAAGGCCCCTGTGAACACAACAATTGATATGATAGCAAGAGATAAATGTTGGGTACCAACAACAATAGAGAAATTGAAGTAAGTATATTCTCTGGGGCACAGGGAGAAAATGTACCATAACACAGAGAAGTTTAAAAAGAAAAAAAAAAGAGTCCAAATGGTTAAATAATAAATCAAAGACCATCGTTAACATTGCAAGGTGCTCCTGTGTAAATTAATACAATTTTTTTTCTTTAAAAAATGTCCCTCAGATGAAATTTCAGTTATGTATACACCTAGTGTGAAAAGAGCAAATAGTTCAAATGTTTCATTCTGAGTTTCATCCCTCTTATCTTTTTTATAGGCCAAGTTACTGCATAATCCCAAAGGTACATAACTTCTAAAATAATACTTCTGCTTTAAAGTAATTGTTAGACCTGGTAGGCCCAGTACAGTTCTCTGATGTTAATGCAAATGGCCAGTGTTCATAAATAGCAGTTTCAAAAGCTGGGCATTGCATGAGTGAGAAATGAAGTGGGGGGAGGTCTAAAGATTTTGTTCAGTCCTAAGAGACTTAAAGGATTATTTCCTTGTAAAATAAAACTGACAGTTTTCCTATAATGTTTTTCTGGCATAATACACATGTTAATCCTTAATTTCCTTCACCAGATGCAATGTAATCCTTCTCGTACAGACACTGAAGCACAATTGTCATTGAGTGAACAAGAATTGCATTCAAATACACAATAGCAACCTCACTCTTTAGCTTCCTGCATTGTCCATGGTAATGGAAAGGCAAAACATACAACTACAAAAAGTAAAGTAGCCATGTTGTCCCATGATAAAAAA